TTCTTTTCTTCATTCTTTCTTGGATGCTCAAATCCCAGTTGAACGCAATACTAAACAATCCAGCAGCAAACCACGTGAATTTCCCTAGAGCGTTATACACGTAAGTTGTTAAACCATAACTATCTCATAATTAAAAATGAAAAACAAAATTCCCAATCCAATTATTTGTATCATTTGTATCATTACTTTTCTTGTTTGTGTTTCACAGGAGCTTGCAGAATGAGAGTCTGATACTTGTTGACTTTAAGTATGTGTTCCAAGAGGGTGATATTAAGAATCCCAGCTCTCTCCTTTCAGAGATCCTGAAACTCTGTGGTATGCATCACATAGCATCGTCATCACAAACTCATAACCTGCCTAATTTATTGTGCTACCCATACCTATTTACTAGTCATGTAGGCTTATTCAAGATGAGCTAATAATAACATATCATAGCTTTCAATTCAGCTTACCTCTTTTGCAGCTGTTACCTGTAGCATTTTATACCTTAAAGTATTTCTTGAACATGTTTGTGTTAAAAACTGGCAGGAGTTCATTTTTTCATTATTGAATCACTGTTGCACCCCCAAACCAATAGGTCCTTCAATAACTAACAGCACGATGGCAACAACTCTACCCAGCCCAACCACCACTATGACCAATGTTACAACAGCTCCGACCACGTATGTTCAGAATTTATGTTCAGTATTTTCAGAATTTAAAAATGTTAGCCTCAGGGCTTCCTTTTATTGCGGTTGCTTTTAGACAAAACAATAGCACCTTGGATGTCACAGCTTCTCCTCCTCTCTTTCTTCCAGGTTGGGATCTGCACTGATCTTCATTCGCCTGGTTTTCATAACGCCAACGTTAGCTCCCAGTCAGAGCGACATTCTCAGTATCGTTGATAAATTTCTGTCACCACGACTGAAATTTGCTTCTAAAAGTCCGCGTGACCCCGTCAGCATCCAGAATGCAGTGTTTGAACGTGAGCTCCATGCTGTTTTCTCTCTCTTTTTGCCCTATTANTTTGCTTCTAAAAGTCCGCGTGACCCCGTCAGCATCCAGAATGCAGTGTTTGAACGTGAGCTCCATGCTGTTTTCTCTCTCTTTTTGCCCTATTACCAATCATTTGAATATAATTTCATAGATTTATAGTTTTTGTCTTTTTGTTCTACATATTTTTGAGTTACTTGACTAATAAATGCTACATATGAGCAGAACTTTTCCTGGACTGAGATTTCGCATTTATCAATATCATAACAGTTAAGCTGTTTTTACTCTCACGCATAGAAGTGATTTATAAAATATGTAACATAAGCTATCATATCCCGAATAGTGTGTGAGTGTGCCCTGTGATTGGTTGATGCTCCATGCTAGGTTATTCTCTGTCTTGCACTGACAGCTTATGGGATATGCTATGGTCCTCCTGTAACTCTGAATTTGTCAAGCGAGTTCAAAAAATGGGTGGATGGATGGATATTATATCCCTGAATTTTCTGTTCAAATGAGAATCCAAGTTGCCTTAATTAAATACTTATTCTGTTAATTAATTTTTTTTCAGCTATATCTAGTAATTCCTTTGGCATCAACTTCGAATTCAAGATACCTCAGGTGTCCATGTCAGAAAATTACACACTCAGGAATGACACTTATGATGAGATCCAGACGTCTCTTAATAACTTGGTGAGAATCCTGATCATTATTTAGGGGATTTTGGTTATTCCTGTGTTTCCTTGTTTATGGGCTATGGATGCATTGCTTTCTCCTTTATAATCAGTGTATGACCTTGCTATGGTGGGATGCTATATATACAGTTAAAGTGGCCAAATGCAGATACATCTGCTGTACATCTCCACTCAGCTTGGGGACCAGTCACTAATCAGATGCCAATAAATCAGCTGTAGCTCATTTTAGTCAAGTTTAGTTCATCTGTGTCTTTTCTTCATTCTCTCTTGGATGCTCAAATTCCAGCTGAACGCAATACTAAACAATCCAGCAGCAAACCACGTGAATTTCCCTAGAGCGTTATACAGGTAAGTTGTTAAACCATAACTATCTGATAATAAAAAATGATAAACAACTTTCCCAATCCATTTTTTTGTATCATTTGTATCATTACTTTTCTTGTTTGTGTTTCACAGGAGCTTGCAGAATGAGAGTTTGATACTTGTTGACTTTAAGTATGTGTTCCAAATGGGTGATATTAACAATCCCAGCTCTTTCCTTTCGGAGATCCTGAAAGTCTCTGGTACGTTTTACACAGCAACATCGCCACAGAGCCCCACAGTGCCAACACTGCCAATTCCCAGGCTCAGGCTGTTCTGTAAATTATGCTTTATAATTGAATGCAGTACAACCTGTTTTCCAACTCTTACAAATTTGTATCATTTCAAGCCATTGTTTAAATTTTGATACTTTGGTGAAGCTCATTTGTTTTATTGGAAAGATTGTTTCAAACATGACGATAGAAAGGATTAATATTGCTGTCTGTGACCATCTGATTAAATTGCTTAAAATCCCAATTAATAATAAGTGTATTTCTTTCAGGTTTGGCTGATAACAGTGCAGCGATAACAATATATCCACCCAGCCAAAGCATTTTGCTCACTACTCCTGGGGCTAACATCACTCCTGTGGGGAGTGGCTTCCCTAGCTGGGCTTTGGCCATTATCATCCCATCTGCAATCTTCATCCTGCTCTTTCCCTTCTGGATTCTACTTTGTGTAAGTTTTACAAAGTCTTTATGTGTTTTTAAACATAACATATAATATATCAATTTATTGATTTATAACACATGGGGCGGCATGGTGGTGCAGTGGTTAGCACTGTTGCCTCGCACCTCTGGGACTCGACCTTCGAGTCTCCGCCTGGGTCACATGTGTGTGGAGTTTGTATGTTCTCCCTCTGTCGTCGTGGGGTTTCCTCCGGGTACTCCGGTTTCCCCCCACAGTCCAAAGACATGCTGAGGCTAATTGGCATTGCTAAATTGCCCTTAGGTGTGCATGTGTGAGTGAATGGTGTGTGAGTGTGCCCTGCGATGGGCTGGCCCCCCATCCAGGGCTGTTCCCTGCCTCGTGCCCATTGCTTCTGGGATCGGCTCCGGACCCCCTGCGACCCAGTAGGATAAGCGGGTTGGACAATGGATGGATGGATGGATGGATTTATAACATGTGTGGTTATAGACAATTAAAAAACACCCTTCTGACCAATCAGATATGAGAATTCAGAAGTGCCACAGTGTAATATAACAATATTTATTTTATTTATGAAGAGCATCTCTAATGTTTCCATTTGTGAGTTCAATGTTGTGATTACTTTTCTATACTTAATGGGTGTAATAAATGCCTGACATCGGTACCCTTCTATCCCTCGCAGTGCCTGCTCGGCGGCTGCTGTGCGGCCCTTCAGAGACAATGGCGCAGAAGGCGATTTTCCACTCTTCAGTACAGACTACACGACAACTAGACACAACGTGTATTATAACCCTTTAAGATTTTTAAGTCTATTTTTCAAAAATTATTCAATGCATGTAACAGGGAGAATGATCTTTATGGTTCTTTTTTATCTTTAAATAATTATATATAAATTTGCTCTGTATTTTTCAATTTTATTCATTTTTTTTAACAAAAAGAATTGTCGATCAGACTGATTATGCAATAGACAACATAAATATTTTGATTTCAATGGATTTGAAAAGATCATAGCAAATCATTTATGATGAATGAAATGAAATTGTGTGAAATTAACATGGAATTGTGTTACTTATATTAATATTTAAGGAAGATGTGTGCTAAATGTTGGACTGTTTTTCTAAAATTTGAAACTGCAGTAACCTTAATTATGTATTACAAAAATCATAAAATGTCAAAAAAATATATTCAGATAATCAATCTGTAACACCATAAATGTCCAGTTTATATAAATGCACCATATTAATAATTGTTGGTTACTTTTTGTGTTGGTTTTATTTTAAAAGTAGTGCCTGCATGTCTGGCTGATGCGAGCGTTTCACCCTGCCAGTGTATTGTCAGTACAGACGCTCCTCTACTCACGAGCCAGTTGCGTTCTGAATGGCTGTTCGTAACTTGAAATGTTCGTAAGTCAATATGCAACATCATTTTAAGGGTACTCAAATCTACATTAATAAGTATGATATAAAGTCAATACATTTATCCTAAAACACATTACTAATGATACATAAAACAAAAACGGATAATGGATGCACAGAATATTTCGTAATAAAAACGAAGTCAAGAGAGCACGTCTTGCCGATACGCAAGTACAAAGAACTGGGATGCTGGGAGTACGCATGTTACGCTACTGCACAGCGGGAGTAGCGGCCAGAATTCAGATTAAGCGGAATTGGCACGCAAAACAAAATTTGATCTTACGGACAGGAAACAGGAGCCTTATAGTCCTCTTTGTTCGTATGTCTGAAAGTTTGCAAGTTGAAAGTTCATAAGTAGAGGAGCATCTGTATATTACAATTGTTAGCTTGGCATTTGTATAATTGTGGATCAGACTGCTTCTACAATCATTTGCTAAACAGTGGGTTGCTCTCAGGAGCTCAATGAACTCAAGTATGGTACCATGATAGGATACCACCTGTGCAATAAGTCCATTTATGAAACTTCCTCATTACTAAATATTTCATGGTCAACTGTTAGTGGTATTATAACAAAGTGGAAGCAATTGTGAAGAACAGCAACTCAGCTACAAAGTGGTAGGCCACGTAAAATCACAGAGTGGGGACAATGCATGCTGAGGCGTACAGTGTGCAGAAGTCGCCAACTATCCGCAGAGTCAACAGCTACAGAACTTCAAACTTTGTGTTGATAGATTTCTTCAGTGAAATCTCAGGTTCTTTTAGTTGAATGATGAGGCAGGTTCCTTAAGCTTAAGCAGTTTATTAAGACAGAATGAAGATGTTACAGAAAGATGTTTCACATAGCCGGTTCAGTGTCTGTCTGTGTCTGTCTCAGGCCCTTTATCTATGGTCTTTGTACAGACTCCTGGAGCCAGAGGGTCAGATGGTCTTGGTGAAAGTAAGTTGTATGAGAGGCAAAGAACATGATGAGCAAGTAGCAAGGACAGAAAGAAATATAAAAATAAGAAATATGAAAACTATAAATGAGTGAACTAAATGAACATAATTAAGTAACTACAAATTAACTAGGGAAATCACTCAGTGTGGCCTTCAGATTAACTCAAGAACAGTGCGTAGAGAACTTCATGGAATGTGTTTCCATGGTTGAGTAGCTGCATCCAAGCCTTACATCACCATATGCAAAGCGTTGAATGCGGTGGTGTAAAGCACTCCGCCACTGGACTCCAGAGCAGTGTTCTCTGCTGTGACGAATCACGCTTCTCTATCTGGCAATCCAATGGACGAGTCTGGGTTTAAGGGTTCCCAGGAGAACAGTACTTGCCTGACTGCATTGCGCCAAATGTAAAGTTTGGTGGAGGGGGTTGTTTTTCAGGCGTTGGGCTTAGCCCCTTAGTTCCAGTGAAAGGAACTCTGCAGCATTCAAAGCCATTGTGGACAAATTCATGAAGGGATGCCCCCTTCCTGTTCCAAAATAACTGCATACCAGTGTACAAAGGAAGGTCCATATGGACATGGATGAGCAGATTCTGGTGTGGAGTCTGCACAGAGCCCTGACCTCAACCCGATAGAACACCTTTGAGATTAATTCCAGTGGAGACTGTGAGCTAGGCCTTCTCATCCAAAATCAGAAGAGTTGAAGCTATTACAGCTGCAAAGCATGGCCCAACTCCATATTAAAGCCTATGTATTAAGAATAGGATGTCATTAAAGTTCATGTGTGTGTAAAACCAGGTGTCCCAATACTTTTGGCCATATAGTGTATATTGTGAGTATATACACTCACCTAAAGGATTATTAGGAAC